AAATTACCCCCCATATTGAGCATTACAGCATTAACATGTGCTCTCCTTTGAAGCTAATGAGTAGGAAAAGAAGGTTCTCAAAGACCAGCAATTGGATCTGAGGACTGCACTATATAAAGGACATCCGCCATTTAGCCGTTTCCACTTGCGACAATGGTGTTCTCTTCCATTGTTACCCACCAAATCTACTAATTAGACCTTCTGAAAAGCTATTTGCCGAATACACAACAAATTAAATCTAGAAATACTGTCTGGGTTTACTCCTTTGCAAATATGGTCAAATCTCACACTAAAAGGCCTAGTCTTAGTTCTGTAATTACTTTGTAGCAGGTTTACACTGACAAGAGTTCTTTTTAAAGCCAAATAAACAACTCTTAACAAACTAGCCTAAAACTCCTACAAAAGAAAGATAAAATGAGGATAGGACTGGGGGGCTGCTACTATCCATGCTTGAAAGAGAGAGGGAGGGGGGTCAGCCATTGTGATGCAAATGTCACTGCCTTGTCTGCTGTTTGTGGCAGGAAATTTAATTAGCAGTTGTGTAGCTACGATACAAACAGGTGGAATGTGAAGAATGCTCCTGATGACACACACACAGACAGGAGAGACAGACTGAAAAACATTTTATTTCACAACGAGTTTCAACTTGTTGCCGCCTCGTGAGGGCCAATCAGTGGCAACATTTTTTTTGGTATACAACAAGATTTGTATATGTTTCTTTGTATCCTAGCAGCAAAAGCCTGCAATGACTTCCAAAATCTTTGTAGCTGGAAGACGTGATGTGAGAGTCACAAGTACACTTAAACTATTTTCCTTTCAACCGATACTTATAAAACAGTAACACCACATCACTTTGAATGAAAAGCCCTTCACAAATAAATTAATTATGAAGATTATGAAACTGAAACATTTCATGTGTACAAACGGCACTATTATTTTCCACTTAACAAGCCCCACAAGGCATTCTCCTCTGTTATTGTGCTTTGCTCTCTGATTTCTTGACACGCCTTTGACTGGAGTTATGGGATAACCCATTAAAACTGTATTAATATCAGACAATTAAATGTGCAAAAGCCAGGCAGTTCAGTTAGCACAGCAGTAGGTAAATCTATGCAATTCTATATGAATATGATCCACTGTAAACAGCAGCAACAAAACTGATGGCAATGACTAGGTCCATATCTATATCTGTAGCAGGCTATTGGATTCAGAACTTCTCCCCGAGGCAACAGTAGGCCTCATCAAGATAAGCTAAATACAGCATGGGCAAACACACACATACAAACATACACAAGCACATCCACACAGCACACTAATGTACCTACACACACACACACACACACATATACACACACGCACACACACACAGAACATGTGACCAAAAGCTGTGTCAGGTCACCCGCTGCCCAAGAGACCACTGCAGCTGTCCTATTGATAGCTGAACTGCACTACACACGGGGAACAGTGGACACCGCTAAGCACAATCATGCAAGCAACTCCAGAGATGGCACGATCACTGGCTGCAGGCTAGCCAATAAAGGCAAGCTTTGGTGAGTGAGATTCAAAGACAGTTATAAGTAGGCTACAAAAGAAAGCAAACATTTTTTTACCTCTCCTTTGAAACTGACATTCTCATTAATAGTTTTCTGTACTTAACAAGTTAGTAAGAAATTTTAAAACTAATGCTCCAACCACCAGCTGCTTTCCGCTTTGTTTAATTCTTTTCTCGGAGCACCATTTCTTTCTGACCTGCCTCTGCAAGCCAAAGCTATGCACTCTTACCACAAAGAAGGAGATCAAAATAACCTGATTAAAAACACTGACTTTTAAAAGAATAACATTTCACCCCCTGGCCCGCTCCATCCCCTTTCTTTCCATGACTTGGGTGTATCTGTATATCAAGTTGCCATGTAAACATAACAGTGTCACACTCAAATTGGGGGGTGGGGTTGGCGGGGGTTACACACAAGAGTTTCAGCGCAGTCATCTCTTTATTTTCTTTGTAACTGCGGTTGTCTGACCAATCAAAGTTTAGTTTCTTTCTCTGACACGTACTTCAAAACATGGCGAGTCTTCTGCTAGTGCACATTCAATTCTTCCCTCAAATATTCTGGGAGTAAAATCATAGTGGGATTGAAGCTTCATGAACATTACATTGTAATATATTATGCAGCCTGGATATTAATTATGATTAATATAACCACTCTCAGACCTGCTTTTTGACCCCTCTTCACCTAAGAGGAAATAGATATTGGGTTGCATCAATAATACATTTCCCTAAATTAATCATTCAGCTGTCCTCTTTTACAAGATGAATACTTTATGTACATACACATTTGAAAGTTTATAATGCAATTCATTAGCAGTGAGGGCATTAATTAGAGAAATTTTCATGCTGCAAAGATGCTTCAATAGCAACATCACAATTGACCGAGCACCTGACAGCTGTCTCTGAAAAGATGGTTCATTACATTTAATGTATCTCAGGGGACAAAAAGAGACAGACTCCCAAAAGGAGAAAAAGGGTATGCAAAGCGCTGGAAATCTGCAACCGCTACACTGTAAAACCAATGAAAGAGGAATTTACAATCAGTGGGGGTCTAATCTTCCTTGGTTTCTCATTATTGCTATAGCACAGATTGATATGAGTGTTTAACTCTGCAGAGAGGTCAAACAGCAACCCTAATGAGACCTGCCACTTGAACAATGAAGAAGTGCCACTGGAAACAACTTGGCAAATAGAAGTCTGTTCAATGGGTGTAATATTGGTAAAACTGGAAAGATGAGTAGATGGAGCTAAATTACTTGTGCTCAAATAGGCGAGAGTATGGGAATCAGGTCAAATTATTAATTCTTAATATAAAGTGTACAATTGTATTTTATTTGATGTCTAGTTTTTAAAACACATTTAAAAACCCAGTGCTTTAAATACTCCATCTCTCACCCAAAGACTGTAAAAACAAGACAGAACAGTGTAAAAGAACCAGCATAGCACCACCTAGCTGTAACATATCTAGATATTCAACACATTTCTGAAATATGAAAAAAAAACTTTGTGAAGTACCTACTTTGTCCCATTTAGATAGCAAACGTTATATAATATGATTTACAAAGATTAGTTCATCTTGACAGTTTTCTATGCTCCGTGAGACAGAGACAAGTGGAAGAAGCATAAGGTTTGGTAACGAGTGTCGTTACGTCGCCGTTTAGAAGTTCATATATCCGTGCTCGACTGTGAAATATTTTTTATTCCTTTTACGATACAGATTTTGAGTGAAAATCAGACCCCCCCACACACACAGAAAAAAGCTTGCAAACGGCGTGCTGAAACGAAAGTTGTCCTGCCGAGTTCATGTTTGCTTGCAGCGGACGTTAGTCACAGGTTTGAGCACCAAGACCAACATTGCTAACGCTAGCTAGCTAACATTTACACCTGCTTGAATGCGGTTCTAAGAAAAGACACATCAAGAAATGAAGTTTGTCCGTGTTGAGAAGAACAAGACG